GCTCGCTCTCGTTGAGGCCTGTGCAGTTGACGCCGTAGGCGGCCGAAGGGTGCATGCCAGTGTAGGCAACCTTGGCAGCCGCAGTTCGCTCTTTCCTTAGCCCAAGAAAACTGCGCACCTTGCCCATGCGCAACTCGACATTGGCGAACCGCTGCTGCCAAATCGCCCTAGCAGCTCGTCGCCCTTCAGCATGATCGATGCCCAGGTTCCGCGCGTGGCGCGCGCCTAGCACCCCTGCAACCTTGAGCAGCCGCCTGGAGATATTGCTGCGGACCTCAGTTGAGTTGCCCTTGACACTGGACTTCTTGACGGCGATCTTGAGCTTCACCTGCTTCAGGTGCTGCACGAGGTTCCGTGTGGCACCTACCAGGTCATCCTGCACTCTCTCGATGCTGCCCCAGCGCTGCAGCACTAGGTCTTCGACCACGATCGCTGGCGCGACAGCCCCAAACTTTGCGACCATCTCGTCCAACGGATGCAGCAGCATGAGCTTCATGAAGCCCGTGGCGCACGCATCACCTGCGAGCACTGTCTGGTGAACCTGCAGCTCCTGCGAGCAGCGCCCGTCTAAGTGCAGGACCCGCGGCGCGCGGTACAGCGAGATCTGCATCTTGGCCAGCCACAGCGGGAACCCGTACTTGGTGGCCGCTTGTACCAGGCCCTGATGAGAAACCTGCTCAAACGCCTCCCACAGGTCGAGCAGGATGCTGGCAGAGGCCCAGTCCTGGTCGGGATGTAGCTCCGCCATCATCGCGGCCCACTCGGACCTCGTCTGCTGCTGCCACACCGCTCTGTCGCAAGAGCGGCCCGAAAAAGCCCACCAGTAAGGCCTGTCATTGTCCTTCTCCCACTTTTGCATGAGGGGCCGCCTGAGCCTCCCGTGCACTCGTATCACCGCAGCAAGTAGGGCAATGGGACGAAGGCCCCCGTCTGCCTTGGGAATGAAGGCCATTTTTGTGATGAAAGAGCTGGGCCAGTCGGCCTTCGCCTCGATAGCCATGATGAGATCAATAAGCGCCTCGATGCCTTGGTCGTCCATGAGATTGAACTCGCTGGGCCGTAAGCTGTCAACATTGGACCCAAACTGAGGCCTGAAAGACGAGATCACCTTCCGCAGCTCAGCGGCTGAAGGTCTATCGGGGCGCTCCCCGAGATCTTCTGGCCACGCGATCCGGTGCCTCGCAGGCTCCTGCTCGCGCGGTGCCGCCACATCCCAGTAACCCGACCACTCGTCCACTAGCGTCTGCAGGCTTTGCTGGATGGTGGACGGTGGCTCGCCGTCTGGCTTGGCGGGCTTCGCGTTCCAGCTCTGCGCCATCTTGGTGACCGCGTGGATGCCGCCTGTGCCCGTGGCCACAGAGTGCAGAACCCACTCGTTGTAGTTCTGGGAGGCCTGGTCCATGTCTGCCTTGACCATCTTCTCCGACCAGCTGGAGCAAGCTGCACTGAGAACGTCCAGCTGCGAGAGGGAGTAGCTACTGGCCCCCGTAGCTATCACATACATGGCGTGCTGCAACTCGCTGAGCTCGGACGGGGGCCTGCTGACCAGCTTGCGCGAAGCACGAAGCGCGCCCAGCCTTGTGAGCGGGCGCTCGATCTGCGCTGCATCCCTGAGGCAGATGGCGATCGCCCTGCACCACGTCGATGCGCGCCTGACCCTCGGTAGTCTTGGCGGTGACGGCGCCGTAGCCGAAGTACACACCAGCCAGGGTCGCTGCCCTCGGCCTGCGTACCTGTCGTGCTCATGGTGAAGCCCGCACGCGTCGATCATGTTGATCTCCGCCTGGCCAATGAAGATGCGCCGCATGCGGTCCAAGTCGCTGGTGTTGGCGATCTTCTCCCGCAGCTCTTCCCAGACAGGTGCGTGGTCTCGCGAGCAGCACGCTAGCGGCTTGGCCAGCGGTAGCTGCTTCGCAGTGCGCATGACCGTAATGTTCTGGTGCCTGCTGGGTCCGAGCAGCTCGAGCGCGACAGGGTAGTGCGGGCTGAGGTCAAGCCCGTCAATGACGCTGGCCTTGGCCCCTCGAAAACTCCTGGAGACCACGAAGTAGTCGATGATTCTGCCGGCTGGCCTGCATGTGGCCTCGGTAGGCGCTGCCACCACCGCCTGCGCAGCCTGGAGCCAGCCCGACTCCGCCAAGACCGACGGCTCCATGTTGAAGCCCCCTCCGACGACGAAGGGCCTGTTGGCGGCCTGGAGCGCCCTGAGCACCGCGTGCAGCGTATCTGCGTTGCTCTTGTTGAGGCCGACATTGACCACCGAATAGATGCTGACCCACGCGATGCCGCCTCTGCAGACGCCGTTGAAGTGGGAAATGATGGCTCGCCCTGGCACGAGCACAGCTGGCCTGCCAAGCAGGTCGAAAGGCCCGAGCCCGAGATGCTGGGGCGCCATCTGCACGAGGCCTCCAGTACCCTGGGAGCCTGGCCCAGCGTTGATCGCTGGCGCTGCCTCCGAGACCCATCCGAGCCTGCGGAGCTGACCTTGTGCATCTTGTGTGCGCCGCGAATCCAGGTGCGCCTCCTGGACGCCCACGAAGTCGCAGCGCCTGACCGTGGAGGTGCCCGGCAGGTTGGCGAACCGAGACCAGTCGTTGCAGTTGACCGTGAGCCCGACCCACCACCTGCCTTGCTCGTCCGACCCGCGGGGCAGGGCCGACGACCGACTGCCGCCGATCGCCAAGCTGCTACCCTCCAGCGGTGCGTGACCGCTTGGCCGCCCTGAGGGTGTCGAGCGCTTCCTGGAGCCGCCTCCTCTCGTTGTCGTCAGACGCGCTTCCGAGGAGCCCTCCAGGATCGTCGCAGCCCATGAACTTGTCGAAGACGTCTCCTTCTGGCTGGGCCATGGGGGTGTCCGCTTGATCAGCCCCGCCAGCCGCACCAGCACCTGCTCCTCCAGCTCCGCTTGCGGGATGGCCGCCGCGCTGCTGCTCAGGCCCAGGAGGAGGGACAGCGGCTGCGGCCGAAATGGCCATCTCGCCCCAGAGCGTGGCGAGGCTGCCCACAACGTCCGCCCCAGACTTGCCCTCGGTGTCGATAGTGGCGACCTTCTCCTTGAGCGTGCGGATGGTTTCCTCCATTGTGGTGGCCGAGTAGAGCTTGGCTGCCTGCTTCTTCGCCTCCTCGAGCTCCGCCTTGCGGTCCGCGAGGGCCTTCTCCGCGTCCGCGAGCGCCTCCAAAGCCTTGCGTGAGCTCTCCAAGAGGCGTTCGCGCTTGGCAGCTGCGCCGGCGACGGCGAGGGAGGCCTGGTCGACTGCCAAGGGGAGCTTCCGCGCCTCAGTGCCCAAGACTCCAGCGGCTGCCTTTCGGCGTGCCAACTCGACCTTGTCACGACTGCTGCGGGAGAGAACGTCCTTGACGAATTCGTGCGACTCCAGAGACATGGCGGCGTAGGCGGCGATCTTCTCGGGACCAAGGGTGACGGTGGTGCTGGCATTGGGCCCTCCTCCGTTAGGTCCGAGCCTTTTGCCTCCACGTCCTTTGCCGCCACCCTTGGGACCTTTGTGCCAAGGGGCTCCTTCTCCTCCGCCTCCGACTGCCCACTTGCCACGTGGCTTGACGTCGGCGTCGTTCGCCGCAGGCACGTTGCGGTCCGAGTGCTTGCCCTTGCAGCCGGCCCTCATGCAGAGGGAGAGGTGCTGCGGGGTATAGCCACCTCAACGCACACACTGCCAGCACTTCGCCATGCGAGCAAGAAGGCCCAGGCAACCAGGCCGAGGAAGAAGACTGTGCACCCTCGGGCAGAGGGGGGCAGGTGATAACCAGGGGCGGACCTGGCACCACAAGAGGTTGGATCGCGAGCTCGGGGAACAGAGCTATCCCGTTTGTGCCAGGAGGCTAGCAGCCCCCCATGCATTGGGTCTTGAGCCAAAATGGCCACGGATCCCACGGGGGCCTTCGGTGGAGCTCCCTATGGGGCCACGAAGCGCTGTACAGGCTGTGCGTGACGCATGCGGGCGGTCCCACTGGAGCCGTCGGTTGAGCTCCCTATGGGGCCGCGAAGCGCTGTACTGGGTGTGCGTGACGCATGCGGGCGGTTCCACTGGAGCCGTCGGTGGAGCTCCCTATGGGGCCGCGAAGCGTTGTACTGGGTGGTGCGTGATGCATGCGGGCGGTCCAACTGGGGCCGTCGGTGGGGCTCCCTATGGGGCCACGAAGCGCTGTACTGGGTGGTGCGTGACGCATGCGGGCAGGTGGAGCTCCCTATGGGGCCACGAAGCGCTGTACTGGGTGGTGCGTGACGCATGCGGGCGGTCCCATTGGGGCCGTCGGTGGAGCTCCCTATGGGGCCACGAAGCGCGGTGCTGGGTGGTGCGTGACGCATCAGGGTGGTGCCATTGGGACCTTCGGTGGAGCTCTATATAAGGCCACGAAGCGCTGTACTGCGTGGTGCGTGACGCATGCGGGCGGTCCCACTGGGACTTTCGGTGGAGCTCCTTATGGGGCCACGAAGCGCTGTACTGGGTGGTGCGTGACGCATGCGGGCGGTCCCACGGGGGCCTTCGGTGGAGCTCCCTACGGGGCCACGAAGCGCAGTGCTGGGTGGTGCGTGACGCATGCGGGCGGTCCCACAGGGGCCGTCGGTGGAGCTCCCTATGGGGCCACGAAGCGCAGTGCTGGGTGGTGCGTGACGCATGCGGGCGGTGCCACTGGGGCCTTCGGTGGAGCTCCTGTTGCAACCGGTGATGATGATGATTGTGATGAAAGAGGGAGGAAGGGGAGAGGGAGGAAGAGAGGAGGAATGACGTGGGGCGCTGTCTCTCCAACACGAGGACCCAACACCACGGGATGGTTGGGAACAAATAGTCGGGGGACGATGTTTTGACCAACTTGACTATTCTGGAATATTTCTGATATATCTTTAATCTTTCGTCCAAAATCCGCCTGTATGGGGGGCACGCCCGACCTAATTCTTGTGTTGATCAGATCTGTCAGTTCGGCCAGGCTCCCAATGCCAACATGGGATTGTGGAGTCGATCGTGATCGCGCACCGCTGTCAGGAGTCAGAGAACATCGAGGCGTTCGTCGACGCGGCTGGCAAAACGACGGGGTACGACCTTGGGAAGGCCTGGACGATAGTGGGGCACGGTGTTCTGCTGACTGGCAACCGAGTCTGATTCTACTGTGGTGCAAACTGCTGCCAGAAGCTGCGCAGGGGGGCTGAGTGGAACGGGGCGGGGCTGAGAGCATGAACGAAGTTCACTTCTCACGGGGCGGGGCTGAGAGCATGAACGATGCCAACTTCTCACCCCGCACTCTTCGGAGCAAACACGGACACGGTCCAAGCTGAACCAACTATCCGAAGGAAGGATGTGCCTCGTCATTCCTTAGCGAATCTGCTTCAAGCAGTGCCACAATCAAAGCTAAAGCATAGGGATGATGGGACGCCTTTACTAGGGTACGCACCCTTGTATCCTTGCCTCTTCGGCCCTTCCCTGTCAGCCTACAAGCTTCGGATCCCCCGCATGGCATCTACAGTCCTTCGAAGACGTGCCCTCATTTCGCTCGCCCGCTACATCTTCTATCCTTGGCATGGGTTGGCTCAGCAGGGCGTAGCTTGGCTGTGCAACCGGTGTCAGGAACTAGCATCTGCAGACCTTCAGGCGGGGGACTTCTTTTTTTGGGAAGTTGGCACAATTGCCTAGACTTGAGCCGTGGTCGTGGTTAGGTTCCGATTCCATAACTGATCGGCGAATGATATGGCGTCAACTGCGCAGACATTCGTGCGCAAGCTGGCCGTGTAAGGCCGCACGGAAGCGCCCTCGTTCTCAGCCTGTGCGCCGCGTCAGCGGCTTGCGTAAGCCCCTGCGTGAGAGCATCCGGGCCGCCGTTGTGCGTAACGCCTTTTTCTTTTCCTCGCTTGTCCTGATGTTGGCGGACTCACCTGGGCCAATCACACTCTCCACTTGCACTCTCATTTTTTGCGCGTGGATCCCAAGTTGCGGTATGTATGTGCGCGCTCCGGCAAGGCGGTGATCAGCTTCATACATCCTTTGCCTTTTGGCGCGACGCGAAGCACCAGTAGAGACCCCCTGTCTGGCCATGCGCGCCCTTGGCCTCCGCGTCTCCGCACACTGGTCACGAGCATTTGCGAACCCAGAGCCTTCTGCCGTGATTCCCTGAAACGTCGCCAGCGGGCCCATCCTCACAGGGTGGACATCTACAGACCCCCGGGGGGACGCCAACCGGCCACCTCACCCATCCCGGCAGGGCCGATCCTGGGCCCGGGACCGACGCTTGCGCCTCCCTGGCCCAGGCAGGACGGCCCGTGCGCCGCTCCTGGGCCCCGGAGCGGCTCGGTGAGGTGGCCAGCCGACGTCGCCCGCACGCTGCCCCGCCGCAAAGCCGAGAGCACCACATAGGGGGCCACAGGCGAACCCTGCCCCTGCCCCCCACGATTTCTGAGGGGCAGGGGTAGGGTTCACTCCGTTCGGGAGCTCCCGAGCCAAGTGAACCCCACCCTCCCCCTCAGAAATCGTGGGGGGCAGGGGCAGGGTTCACTTCGTTCGGGAGCTCCCGAGCCAAGTGAACCCCACCCCTGCCCCTCAGAAATCGTGGGGGGCAGGGGCAGGGTTCGCCTGTGGCCCCCTACCAGAAGCTCCCGAGGCAGCACGCCATTCGGGGGCTCGGAGGGGCGGCCCGAGCGCGGGGCGCGGGCGGGCTCGCCCGCCGACGGCGCCCGAGAGCCAGGACGGAGGGAGGTCCGCGAGGGAGCCCCCTGCGCTTAAGTCGGGCCGGTCCCCCTACAGGGGGATTTTCGACGAAAAATAAAACACACACCAACAATTCTCCAAAAATACTCCGAAAATAGTCCGGGGATTATTTTTTGAGTATTTTTTGACCTTTTTGGCGTATTTTTTAAAAAGGTATTTTTCATTCTCCTCGAAAATCCCTTTGTAATTAGGGGGACACGCCCGACATAACCCTGCGCAGGAGTTCCATCGACTGCACGTGAGAGTGACCCTTCGCCGCAGTGGCCTTTGGTGCGGGCCCATCGGGGTCCCCCGACCGCCGAGCGCGATGCGGTCTTGAGCGTCTTGCGCTCTCGTGCTTGGTCCGCCCGGGGCCCCCAAAGGCCGCGCACCAGGGGTCACTCTTGCCCAGGGTCGCTCTTGCGTGTAGCGGGTTCCAGGGCAGCGCAGCGTGCAGGGCTCAGACTCCCAGGGATGGGGGCTGCCTGTAAGCATCGCCTGGGGGATCGATCTTCGGGGGCCTCGGCAGGCACCGGATATGGATATATACTCGACCCCCCCCTGGGGCCCAGCCGTATCCATACCCACCGCCCTCCTGGGGTTTTCAGGGCGTCGGTTCACCCGGCGGTGGATGTGGACAAGTCCCCACTTCGCCCAGACCTTCCGTCCCGGTTTCCGTCGACCGCGCAGTGGCTCAGCCACGCGCAGAGGGGGGTGAGGGGAGGGGGGAGGGCTTCTTAGAAGCACACCTGCTTCTTAGAAGGCGCGGGCCTTATCTATAGATGTAGGGCCGGCGCCTTCTAAGGAGCAGCCTACTTCTAAGAAGCCCCCCCCCCCTCCCCCCAACCCCCTTGTGCGCGCCGCCAGGTGTCACGGGCGCACGTGTGCCGTCTGCGGACGCCGCGGCTTCGTGGGGGGGTGCATGAGCGAAGCTGCGAGGCCAGGGCGGCGAGCTCCTGGGCCCTGCCGGGGGGCCGTGCGCTCCGGGCTGCCCCCTGTTCCTGTTCAGGCCTTTGCACACGGTGGCCCTTTGTGGACCGTGGTGGAGGAATGTCACCAGGGCGGAGCGGACGTCACCCTGCGCTGCCATATCTTTTCGTACGTATTCCTATTCTTATATTTTCATTACCTGGGACCCCCCCCCCCCGGACCCCCCCCTAAACCGGATCCTCCTCCAAGGGACGGCCGGGACGCCTTTTCGGACGGTTCGGGGGCCCCCTGGACGCCCTTGGAAAAGGTTCGCTGGCCTTTCCGGGCCTCCCAGGGCGCATTGACAGGCCTTGCGAGCAGACTCAAGGCGATTAGAAGGGTCATCGGAGAGGCGCAAAATAGACCCAAGACAGCACACGGGCGCTTCAAGAGGCCCCCAAAACGCCCCAAAAGGCTGTTCAGAGAACCCCAAAGAAGCAAAAAACGCCCCATCCCCTTGGGGAAATACACATTTGTTGCATACCCGCTTTGTTGGCCTTTGCAGCGTCCAATTCCGGCCCGATGGGCCACCGATATCGCCCCAAGACGGCTCAAGAGGCGCCCCACATGGCTTCACGACGGCCCACGAGGGCCCCAAGACTGCCCCAGAAAGCTTCGGACTGCCCACAAAAGACCCAGACGCCCCCAAAAAGCTCCCAAGAGAGACCCAAGAAACCCACGGGAGATCCCCAGGAAGGCCTTCGGAGGCCCCCAAGAGGCCCAAAATGGCTTCCGAAGACTTCTAGAGGGACCCAGCTACCCACAATGGCCCAAGAAGGCCCCAACACGGCCCAGGAAGGCCCCAGGACGGCCCACAAAAAACACCAAAACACCTAAACGCGGTTCTCCTGCGAAGTGCATCGAGCTCACCCGACGCTCTTCGTTCTGTCTCTCTCTCTCTCTCTTTTTCTGTCTTTCTGTCCCTTCCTTTTCTGCCTTCTTCGTCGACTTCCACGTTCGTGGCATCCGATGGTGGTCATCATTCGCCTGGTCCTTCCTCTGAACCGTCTCGCCCTTTCTCCCCCCTTCCTCCCCCCTTCCGCCTCTTCAGCCCCCCCTTCCTCCCTGCTGCCTTCCTGTTCCCCGTTCATGGACAGGTGCCACCGCAACAGCTTGATGCTTCGCCGTTTGCCACCACCATCGCACGTGAGAAAATCATCATTCCTGCCCCATGCCTGCACACAAGCGTGCAAGTGCATCGGACGAAGGCGGTGTCAGCAGGCGCCGGTCGCCCGTGCAGACCCTCAAGTCCCTATGCTACCACAAGCGATGATTGATTGTTTGCCAGGGAAGCGTCTGGAACAAGGCGCATGGCGCGAAGCGCCAATGCAGTCTTGTATATCTTTTATATATACATATATATATACGAGACTTGAAGCTCGCTGCGCTTCGCTTCGAAGTCTTGGTGTAGTGCATTGTCAGGGGCAAACGGGGGGGAGGACAAACAGGCGTATTGGGCCGAGGCGCAGCTACATGTGCAGGCCAATTGGGCTGCAAGAAAAAGCAAAGCACGTGGGGTGATGGAAACAGGGGTGCGCGTTCGACGACGGCGACGACGACGTTGTCGTCGTCGCCGTCGTCGCCGTCGTCGGTCATCTAGAAGTGGCCCGCGGTTTTCTGGAACAGTTTTGGGGGCCTTTCGGCATTTGGGTTGGTTTGGGTCGACGTTGCCGTCGTGTTTGTTCGGCTTCTAAAGGGCCACATGGAGCCCCGGAGACGAATCTGCCTTGGGGGCTTTTTGGGGGCTTGCCCGAGATGGTTCATGGCGCTTGTCGCTCGTGGGAGCCTTGGTGTGAAGGGCTGGTTGCGTCACCGCTCGCTCTCGGGAGCCGTGGTTGTCAGAGATAGTGACGTTGCCGCTCGCTATTGGGAGCCTTGGTTGTCAGAGTTTGTTATGTCACCGTTCGCTCTTGGGAGCCTTGGTGTGAAGAGCTTTTACGTTACCGATCGCTCTTTCCTTTGGCGTCAATGGGCCTTTTTCGTGCTTCTTTTCGGGTTGATTTGGGGGCTACCGATCGCTTTTTTCTTTGGCGTCTCTGGGCTCCTTTAGTGGTGTTCGGAATCTTTTGGGGTTCTTTGGCCTATTTGGGACCCTTTTGGGCCGTCTTGGGGCGCTTTTGGGCCGTCTCGGGGCGTCTTGGAGGCCTTGACTCGTCTTGGGGCTCTCTTGGTGGCTCCCTGGGGCCCTCCTAGGGCCCTCTTGGGGCCTCTTGGGGCTGTCTTGGGGCCCTCTTGGGCCGTCTTGGGCGCCTCTTGGGCCGTCTTGGCGCCCTCTTGGGCCGTTTTGGGAAGCCTTTTTGGAGCCTCTTGGCCCGTCTTGGGGCGGTCTCGGGGGCATCTTGGACCGTCTTCGACGCCGTAAAGGGCGAAATGTAGTATATGCTGAGAATATACGTTTTCCGATGGACAATCAATGATTTGGGCATCTTGGGGCCCTCTTGGGAAGCTTCTTGGCTGCGTCTTGAGGCGTCTTGGAGGCCTCTTGGGCTGTCTTGGGGGCATCTTGGGCGTCTGGGAAGGATATTTGGGTGTTTCGGTGCCGTCGTGGACTGTTTCGGGTTTTCTCCTGGAGCCTTTTTGGGGCCCTCAGGGACGGGCCAGAAAAGAGCCTCCGGAGCCTTTGGGACCGCCAGATTCTATTGGGGGGGGGGTGTTGGCCATGCGACCGGTTGTTACTGTGGCCCGTTGGGTGTTAGTGTGGCCCGTTGGGTGTTAGTGTGGCCCGTCGCGCGGCGGGATGGGAGTTACTGTGGCCCGCGCAGGCCGCTCAATGAAAACTAATCTGTAAAGGTATCTCATGTTAGATCTGGGGAGATTCGCAACCCTCACGGGAATGCACTCCCGCGCAGGCCAAAGTGGCCACAGTAACTCCCATCTGGAACCAACGTGGTAGTAGTGCTGTGTTAGTGGTGTGGTGGTCGCTGTGCTGTGTTAGTGGTGTGGTGTTGGTAATGTTGTGTTCGTGGTGTGGTGTTGGTAGTGGCGGGTTGTGCTGTATGCTGTGTTAGTGGCGTGGTGTTGGTAGTGGTGTGCTGTGTCAGTGGTGTGGTGTTGGTAGTGTTGTGTTAGTGGTGTGGTGTTGGTAGTGTTGTTGAGTTGTTAGTAGGTAGTTGTGTTGTGATAGTGGCGGTGGTGCTGTGGTAGTGGTGTTGTGGTAGCGGTGTTGTGGTGTTGTGGTTGTGGTATTGTGGTAGCGGTGTTGTGGTGTTGTGGTAGCGGTGTTGTTGTGTTGTGGTACTTGTATTGTGGTAGTGGTGCTGTAGTGTGGTAGTACTATGGTGCTGTAGTGTTGGTGTTACGTAAACTCATTCATAGGGAGTGCAAGTGCGACGGAGTACTAGCCGCAGGGAGTGCTAGCCCCAGGGAGTACCAGTCCTAGGAATTACTACCCCTAGGGCGCACTCGTCCAAGGGAGTACTCGTCCTAGGGAGTACTCGCACTACGGAGTACCAGCCCTAGGGAATACTAGTCCTAGGGAGTGCTAGTCCGAAGGAGTGCTAGGAAGTACTGGCGCTAGGGAGTGCTAGCCCTAGAAGTACTGGCGCTAGGGAGTGCTAGCCCTAGGGCGCTAGGGACGACAGTAGTAGTAGTAGTAGTAGTAGTAGTAGTAGTAGTAGTAGTAGTAGTAGTAGTAGTAGTAGTAGTAGTAGTAGTAGTAGTAGTAGTAGTCGTAGTAGTCGTAGTAGTAGTAGTAGTAGTAGTAGTAGTAGTAGTAGTAGTAGTAGTAGTAGTAGTAGTAGTAGTAGTAGTAGTAGTAGTAGTAGTAGTAGTAGTAGTAGTAGTAGTAGTAGTAGTAGTAGTAGTAGTAGTAGTAGTAGTAGTAGTAGTAGTAGTAGTAGTAGTAGTAGTAGTAGTAGTAGTAGTAGTAGTAGTAGTAGTATAGTAGTAGTCGTAGTAGTCGTAGTAGTAGTAGTAGTAGTAGTAGTAGTAGTAGTAGTAGTAGTAGTAGTAGTAGTAGTAGTAGTAGTAGTAGTAGTAGTAGTAGTAGTAGTAGATAGGCGTCGTCGTCGTCGTCGTCGTCGTACGTCGTAGTTCGCCGTAGTAGTAGTAGTAGTAGTAGTAGTAGTAGAGTAGTCGTAGTAGTAGTAGTAGTAGTAGTAGTAGTAGTAGTAGTAGTAGTAGTTAGTAGTAGTAGTAGTAGTAGTAGTAGTCGTAGTAGTCGTAAGTAGTAGTAGTAGTGCGGTAGAAGTAGTAGTAGTAGTAGTAGAGTAGTAGTAGTAGTAGTAGTAGTAGTCGTAGTAGTAGTAGTAGTAGTAGTAGTAGTAGTAGTAGTAGTAGTAGTAGTAGTAGTAGTAGTAGTAGTAGTAGTAGTAGTAGTAGTAGTAGTAGTAGTAGTAGTAGTAGTAGTAGTAGTAGTAGTAGTAGTTAGTAGTAGTAGTAGTAGTAGTAGTAGTAGTAGTAGTAGTAGTAGTAGTAGTAGTAGTAGTAGTAGTAGTAGTAGTAGTAGTAGTAGTAGTAGTAGTAGTAGTTAGTAGTAGTAGTAGTAGTAGTAGTAGTAGTAGTAGTAGTAGTAGTAGTAGTAGTAGTAGTAGTAGTAGTAGTAGTAGTAGTAGTAGCAAGCAGCCAGAGTAGTAGTAGTAGTAGTAGTGTAGTCGTAGTAGTAGTAGTAGTAAGTAGTAGTAGTAGGTACGTAGTAGTAGTAGTAGTAGTAGTAGTTAGTAGTTGTAGTATGGTAGTAGTAGTAGTAGTAGTAGTAGTAGTAGTAGTAGTAGTAGTAGTAGGAGGAGGAGGGGAGGAGAGTAGTAGTAGTAGTAGTAGTTAGTAGTAGTGGTAGTGGTGTGGTCGTGGTCGTGGTCGTGGTCGTGGTAGTGGTAGTGGTCGTAGTAGTAGTAGTAGTAGTAGTAGTAGTAGTAGTAGTAGTAGTAGTAGTAGTGGTAGTAGTGGTAGTAGTGGTAGTAGTAGTGGTAGTAGTAGTAGTAGTAGTAGTAGTAGTCGTAGTAGTAGTAGTAGTAGTAGCAGCAGCAGCAGCAGCAGCAGTAGTAGTAGTAGTAGTAGTAGTAGTGGTAGTAGTAGCAGTTGTAGTAGTTCGGAGAGCCCAAGAGGCTCTTCGGAGAGCCCAAGAAGCGTTTCGGATGCCCCAAGAGGCTCTTCGGAGGCCCCACGAGTCTCTTCGGAGAGCCCAAGAGGCTCTTAGGCGGCTGCAAGAAGGTCTTCGGCGGCTCCAAGAGGCTCTTCGAAGAGCACCAGAGGCTCTTCCGAGAGGCTCTTCGGTGAAGGGGGGGGGCAGAGCATTTTTGGACCCTGTTCACCGTACTCGATGATAAATACACTCCGGAGGACCCCTGGCCATACTAACACCCACCGGGCCGCAGTAACAACCAACGGGCCGCAGTAACACCTTATCTCTGTTGGCCATCCCTGGTGTGAGATAATTAAGATAGGAATATATACCGAAACGGTTATTGAATCGCTTCGCTCATTCCGCCCGCTCGTATTGTGCCATCGCGGGGTCTTGGGGGGTCTTGGGGGCCTTTGGAAGCTTCGTGGGAGCTTCTTGGGAACTTTGGGAGGCCTCGTGGGTGGCTCTGGGTGGGCCCTCTTGGTAGTCTCTTGGGGGGGTCTGCCTGGCCTCTTGGGGGCCTCCTGGGAGCTTCCTGGGGGTCTCTTGGGGGCCTCTTGGGGCTTTCTTGCGGCCTGTTGGGGGCCTCTTGGGGCTCTCTTGGGGGCTTCGTGGGGCTACTTGGGGGCTTGTATGGGGCATTTCGGGGGCGTGTTTGGGCGGGAGGCTCAAAATTTCCGTTCAGGTTGCCCCTGTGGACCTCAATCATGGGGCCGTCTTGGGGCCTCTTGGACCGTCTTGAGGGTTTCTTGGGCCTTCTTGCAGCGCTGTTGGGCCGTCTTTGAGCGGTCTTGAGGGTCTCTCGGGCCGTCTTGGGGTGATCTTGGAGGCCTCTTGGACCGCCTTGAAAGGTGTGAAAGACGAAGAGGCGGATATGTTAAAAATGCACGCTTTCCTAAGGGAATGAGACGATTTTTGCTTGTGGGAGCCCTCTTGGGACGCCGCTTAGGGACCTCTTGGGGCGTCTTGAAGGCCTGTTGGGCCGTCTTGAGGCCATCGTAGGCGTTTGGGGGTGATATTTCGGCGTCTCCCGGCTCTCTTGGACCGTCTGGAGGGCTTCTCGGGCCCCTCTTGGACCGATTTGGAGCCCTCCTGGGCTCCGAAAAAGAGTTCTTGAGGGTTTCTTGGGCCTTCTTGGAGCGCTCTTGGGCCGTCTTTGAGCGGTCTAGAGGGTCTCTCGGGCCGTCTTGGGGTGATCTTGGAGGCCTCTTGGACCGCCTTGAAAGGTATGAAAGGCGAAGAGGCGGATATGTTAAACATGCACGCTTTCCTGAGGGAATGAGACGATTTTTGCTTGTGGGAGCCCTCTTGGGACGCCGCTTAAGGACCTCTTAGGGACCTCTTGGGGCGTCTTGAAGGCCTGTTGGGCCGTCTTGAGGCCATCGTAGGCGTTTGGGGGTAATATTTCGGCGTCTCCCGGCTCTCTTGGACCGTCTGGAGGGCTTCTCGGGCCCCTCTTGGACCGATTTGGAGCCCTCCTGGGCTCCGAGAAAGAATTCTTGAGGGTTTCTTGGGCCTTCTTGGAGCGCTCTTGGGCCGTCTTTGAGCGGTCTAGAGGGTCTCTCCCTGGTGTGAGATAATTAAGATCGGAATATATACCGAAACGGTTATTCTGTCTCCTCTCTCGCTCTCTCTCTCTCTCTCATCGGTGGTTCTCGGCCGCCAGAGCCTGGATAGTCCACACGCAGCACGACATTATCCATCTCCAGGTTTTGTGTACATGCGCTTGGCGTTTCCTATCGCTCTTGTGGTATTTAATGATTATGTTTTTTTTCAAGTTCGGAAGCTCAGGCGTGGGAGTTCATCGACGCTTGCCGATGGAACTCCGTGAGTTTCGACGACTTTGAGAGGGGTGCCCAGGACATGGGTTTTACTGGCGACTGCAGGCTACTCTTTGACGGCATCGAGGTGGAAGGCACCCGACGCGTCACCCGCGACGACTTGGTCTATCTGGAGATTTTGCACGAGACTGTGATGACGACGATACTGTTATTGATGGTACTTTTTTTGAGTGACCGGTTGACTCGTTGGTTGACTGGTGAACTGATTGAACGATTGATCATGTTGGCATGTTTCGTCCACTTTTGACTTGGTTTGGGTATGGTCATATCTTGTTTGAGCGGTTCGGTCTGAACTGACACGACATGCTTTGCCTTGGTCTGGTCTGGTCTGGCCTGGTTCGACTAGTGCTTCTCTGGTCAAGTGGTTTGATCTGACTGATCCTTTCTGCGTGAATTTGGATGATTGGCTAGCTGGTTGTGTGCTTGACGAGTTGAGTGATCGAATAACCAGAGGGTCAGGTGATTAGCTCATCATTTGATCGAGACCTAATGACGAGGGGCATGGCACAACATTCAGCGGCGGTGGCGGTGATGATGGAGCGCCCCAGGGAGTGGAGTCGTCGGGCTGCCCAGGGAGCATCGGGGGACTGGGGGAGGGGCTATGCCCGCGGGACTGTGTGGTCGATTGTGGATCCGACGTGGCGACAAAGATAAGCTACCTACAAGACTCGTCAACAATAAACAGAAGACTTCTCAATTCGGTGATTGTGGGGTCAGCGCTACTCCAATGCTGACGGATGCCTGTGGACTCGGACGCGGTGTTGTCAAACAACCGACCCCACCCTCTCAGCATTGAAGAACGCGCTTCTGACAAGTGCCCGACAGCATCGTGCTCCAGGATTTCAATTTTCATTTCTGGATATTTTCGACGAGGCTTGTAGAACGGTGCCGCCCCCGAACCGCCTTATCACCCACAGGGAGTTCTGATTCGAAGGCAGCGGCATCGAAACGTAAGCTCTTCGCAGAGGGCAGCACACTGCGCGAGCCAGCATGGGCGCTGTCTCTGTCCTGGGAAAACTGCGAAGTCGGCTGCACACATGCACTTCGTGCAGATACGGTGAGCTGTTCAAGTTGTGTGGAGGAGGAGGAGGAGGAGGCGGAGGAGGCGGAGGAGGAGGAGGAGGAGGAGTAGGAGGAGGAGGAGGAGGAGGAGGAGGAGGAGCATCGAGGAGGATCAAGGAGGATCGAGGAGGAGGAGGAGGAGGAGGAGGAGGAGGAGGAGGAGCCTCCCTCCTCCCTGATCCTCCTTCTCCTCCTCGTCCGCCCGTTGCCCAGGAGAACCTAAGCCAGAACCCTGCGCTTGCTGCGCGGCGAAAGCTGCGGTTCGCTTAGCCGTCCTTGCGACTACAAGGCCCCCGTCGCCCGATCGTGGACTTGTATCCCAAGCAGTTTCAACAGGCGAGCCGAGGGAACATACTGCGCTAGTAATCCAGTCGCGAGAGATCCTGGTAACATGGAGTGCGGAGTGCGGTGTGCCGGCGTGCGCTGGAGCGCGCCCTGCGCGGGCTGCTGAATGGTGGTGCTGCCTTCTGACCACAACGGCGAGGGATTCGTGTGGACGGTGGTTATCATGGCGGTGATTGTCATGATGATGGTGATTCTGATGAAGGTCATGCATATGAGCATAAAACGTGATGCTGATAATGGTGATGACGATGATGATGGTGATGATGATGATGATGATGATGATGATGATGATGATGATGATGATGATGATGAGAAGGAGGAGGAGGAGGAGGATAATGAGGATGAGGATGAGGATGATTAAGTTTGGTGACAGGGCGTTGCTCTCTCAGCCGTCGGAGCGAGGGTCATAGAGTGTTCTGGCTAGTGTATGTGGCAATTGCGGGTGCCTTCAACAGCGTGCGATTGGCCTGACAGCGCAGGACTTCTCGCGAAGGGATGTCCTCGAATCGCGACGGCCCTGCAGGAATCTGTTCCATCAGTGGAATACTTGAAGAATTCGCAAATGCCAGGGTCCCCTTCGATCCGATCGATTCGACTGGATGGCGATTCTGAGCGGCTCGATCCAGTCCGAATCCGATATTCCGACGATCCCATTCGCCCTGATGTAACAGATGTATGTTTGCATGGCGATGTTGTGCATCCTTGCGCAGCCGATCCGATTCGATTTCGACTTCGTGCCGATGCGGCCCGATTCGATGCACATTCCGATCGGATCCGAATTCCCGATTCGATGCTGACTTACCTCGCAAACGAGGGACGTGTGTGCCTGGTTGGCAAATCGTTCGTTGCTCTTCTATTCCCAGGTCTGCCCAAGATGGCCTTCTCTCAGCACCGTCTCCCTGGAGCTTAGCTTATTGAACCGCCCACACACACCGATCTATATGTATATCTATAGGACAACACACATGCATACACATTTGTATAGAGAAAATGATCTTCAACTCAATGATCACTGGTATTTCACATCACATCCAGTGTTAGCTAACAGTTCCTCTACACCTGTATCGATCGTATTGCATTGTGTATGTGCTTGTGCTGCTCCGTGCATGGCTTCGCTGCCAACCCGCTGCTACCGCTCAGGCCATCTAAGGGGGGCCAGGATGAGCTCAGGTAGCGAGCGCTCTCCCCTTCCCTCCGCCTCCAGCCTCCCACTCCCGTGCCCCTCTTCTCTTTCCCGTGTCCCGCTTCCCTGACCCCTGCTTCCTCCTCCCCTCCCCCCCTCCCGCCCTTCCTCATGCGCTCCTCCTGCCTCATGCCTTCCCCTTCCCTCCACCTCCCCCGCCCTCCCTGCCCTCCCTGCCCTCCACTTTCCCCTCCCTCTTCCCCTGCCCTTTCTCCCCCCTTCCCATCCCCTCTTCCTTGGGGTTCCCTCGCCCTCCCCTCCCGTCCCCCCCGCCTCTCACCTCATGAGGCCCCAGTGGGTGGCCTTGGGTGGGGCCCTGGCCCGTATTCAATCCCCCCTCCCCTCGAGATCGCAGATCGCGACGGCGGACCCGCAGAACCTCCGAGCACTCGAGAGGTGGAGGATAGCGAGGAGAGCGGGGGAGGGGGCGGGGGGGGAGTGGAGGAGGGGGACGAGGAGAAGCGGGGGAGTGGAGGATAGCGAGGAGATCGGGGGAGGGGGGGGGGAGGGAGTGGAGGAGGGGGACAAGGAAAAGGGGTGGACCCAGCCTCGCGCGGGACCTCCGGCAGCCGTCCCCGTCGCCGGCACCTCGATCGGCGGCGCCTCCTGGCGACCCCCCCCCCCCGTCTGTCTGCGGCGCGATCCGTGGGCACACCCCTTCGGGCACGACCGGGCGCTCCTGGCTACGCCGCCGCCGTCGCCTTCGCCGCCGCCGCCGTTGTCGCGTTCGCCGCCGCCGTCACTGTCCCCACCGCCGCCCTCGCTGCCGCCCAAAGAGGCCTCCAAGACGCTCCCAACAAGCCCCCCAGAGGCCCAAAAAGCCTGCCCCATGCCCCCAAGTCATTCCAAGAGGTCCCAGGGAGGCATCCCAAGAGACCCTCAGATTCATCCAGGAGGCGCCTGACCCAATATATAACTTCCACGATCGCCGCCGCCGGTCGTCGTCGTCGCCGTCGTCGTGGGCGGCCGCTGCGGCGGTGTCGGCGGTGTCGGCGTCGACGTCGGCGTCGTCGGCTCCGCGCCGAGGAAGAACAACACCGGGGCGCTGACGGATCTCATATCTTGGGCGCCTTGGGGGGGAGCGGGCGTTACAGGCGCAGGGCGTCGCCGCCTCCCTGCCTCCTTCCTCCCGCCGCCCCTCCGTCCCATCCCCGGGCGACCGACCTAAGAGTAGATGTTGTCTTGGCTGAGTTTGGCGCCTGCTTCGAGCAGGTGGAGTAAAAGCACAGCGGCCCAGCCGCCTCCCCCCATCCCCCGCGGACGCGCGAGTCGCTGCTTCACGAACATGTGTGCTGTGTTTTCGGGGCGCCCCTCGTGATCGTTTTTTTATTCATTGTTGTGCCGATCGGCGCGGGCCCCCCCCCCCTGGGGTGGATCTTGGCTGTTTTTTGGCGCCTGTTTCGAGCGCGTGGAGTCTCCCCAGAGGCCGCACTCTTGCAAACAGGTGCACTCAGCAGAGGTCCAGCGCCAGACACTCCCCCCCTCCTCCCCCCTTCCGCCCAATGTCGAAGCGCCGATTAAACAAAACGTTCGCCTCGTCTTCGAGGGATTGGCGGGGCTGTCACCTCCTCCCCAGCGGAAGGCCGGCGGAACGCGGCGGGAGCAAAACGCGACCGGCTCCGCTGGCGGAAGGCTGGCGGAAGGTGGCCGAGGTACAGCAAATCGTCCCCAGGAGATGCCACCTTTTCTCAGGAGGGAAAAAACACACAGGCACAATTAATCGTCGACTCCCCAGGAAGATGTAGGAAAATATGGGAAGTGGGGGGGGGGAAGACAAAAACCCAGAAAATATACGAAAATATGTGGAGTCCTTTTATTTGTGTGCATTTATTTGTGTGTCCCAGGGCCCCTTCATTTTCGGGGCTCAGGGTTTCCCGAGTCTGGGCCACAGGCCCCCTGCCTGGGGGGCCGCTCTCCCAGGATCTCGAGAGGCGGTGGGCGTGGATGCGTTCGGGCACCGTGGGGCTCCAGGCGTGTTCACACCTCTGGCTCCTGCAGCCCCTGGCAGTCTGTTCCCGCGAGCGATGGGTATGTATTGGAATTGCCTGTCCTCGGTGGAGAGATTTCGTGAGGAAGGGATAACGGTTGAAGACCCATCGGAAGAATGCCGCACATGTCCAGGCACATCTTGGATGGTCAGAGCAGGGTAAGGATCCGTCTTTCAGCGCTGTAGAGGCGACCTTCCCTGTCTCCCTCTCCAGGGGGTACAGTCAAACATGATCATAAGAACGAGTAACTTCCAAGGGTACCTACGTCCTTGCCCTTCGGCCCATTCTAACCTTTAGCCGCGGGCCATGTGCTTCCAACTTCGGCTTCAATGGTTGTATCAAATGGCCTTGCATCCTTACCGCGCATCCTTGCGATCCAGACGCGCTGTTGATTGTTTGATAGTTTTGCGAGTCATGCGGGCATGTTGTGCTCACGAGAAGGGTCGTGCTGCAGCGCAGAGGCTAGAGACCACGACGGCAGCTCGTGTCCGCTTTCCTCCCTTGTCATGGAAAAGATGAGTCCGGAGGGGGATGCCTCCTGCGGTTTTTGGCTTGTTTTTGGCACCCCGAGGGGACATTCACGGACTGCGGGACAGCACAGACGGCTCGGAATGAAAAGCCGTTGCTGGGGGAAAGCTCTGGGATCTCTTGGACTTGGTCTACCCAGGATTCCTCACTGCAACTCCTTCTCCCGCCGCCCCTTTGGGGAGAAGGATGACCACCACCACCACCATTGGGGAGTGTAGACCTGCTAGTTTATCGTGTCCGCGCGTGTGGATGATGCCCTGCACACGTGCCCCGAAACGCACGCACCACCACCCCTGACGCCCCCTATGGCCCCTCTCTGGGTGGTAGCTGCAGTGACCCTCACTTATCCTGCCCCTCCTCCCCCGTCCTCCTCCTCCTCATCCTCCTCCTTCTCCTCGTCCTCCTCCTCCTCCTCCTCCTCCTCCTCCTCTTCCTGGTCGACTCCCTTCCTCCTCCTCCTCCTCCTCCTCCTCCTCCTCCTCCTCCTCCTCCTCCTCCTCCTCCTCCTCCTCCTCCCTCTCTCCCTCCGTCCTTCCCTCCCCCTCTCGAAGAAGAATGCACGAAAAGAAACTTTCAGATGGCCGCGCGGTTTTCTTGGGTCGGTGCTGGGCTCCCTGTTCATTGGCGCTCGGAGCACGCGGGGGGCGGCTCCGGAGGCACCGACGGCGGTTCCAGTGCCAGCCTAAGAGAGCGCGCGGACCTCCGAAAGTATTGTGAAGGCCTGACGGCCAGTGCGAGGAGGCGGAGATAAGGAGGAGGAGGAGAAGGATGAGGAGGAGAAGGAGGAGGGAAAGGACTCCCCCCTGGGACACCCCCCTCGGGGAGGAGGACCAGAGGAGGACCGGCGTGGGAGATGGGAGGGGAGGGGGAGGAGGACCCCCAGGGACGGATGCGTATCTGACTCCCCTCCCCCCCCTCTGTGACTCCTCCACACCTGGGGAGGAGGACCCGAGGATGACTGGCGCGCCGAAGAAGGACCAGCGTGGGAGAGGAGGACACCCAGAGGCAATGCGAACCTGACCCCCCCCCCCAGGAGCCCCCCCCGCTGGGGAAGGGACAAAGAGAAGGGGCTTCCCTTTAACGTAATGAGGACGTGGGTGGAATTCCCTCAAGCTGCGAACCCGTTCCCCGAACGAGGAAGGGTGCTCCCTCTCTCCCCCGACGGGAGGGGACGAAAGAAGGCTCCCCGTCGACGGGACCAGACAGACACCCCACACACGCCGAGAGGGTCGGCGGCTTTGCTCATACAGTTGCTGTTCCTCGCACGCGGCTCTGCGCGGCGGTCACGAGCGGAACGCCCCCATGGGGCCGCGTATCCGTGGGATCGCGCCTTGGCATCCAGGCTGCGAGGGCACGGATACGGATATCGGGTATGCTCGTCGATCGAGACCCTCCCCCTCAGAGGAGGACAACTATTTATCTATCTATCTATCTATCTATCTATCTATCTATCTATCTATCTATCTATCTATCTATCTATCTATCTATCTATCTATATATATATACACACATATAACGGCGCACCGGGTCCGGGGGCCCGGGGCCGGGACCCCGACCGCAAATGTGGGCTCCGGGGGGCCCGGAGGCTCGTCGGGGCTTGCCGGAGGCCCCCCCGGTCAGACAAGACGGCCCCAGGAGCGCCCAAGACGGCCCAAGAAACTTCCAAGAGGCCTCCAAGAGGGCTCCGAGATGCTGAAGATGGCCTCCAGACGTCCAAGGACGCCCCCAAGAGGCCCCAAGAAGCCTCCAACATGCGTCCCAAGAGGGCCCCTAGACGCAAAAATTGGCCCATTCCCTTCGTAAAACGTACATTTTCAACAAAGTTGTCTTTTGGGCTTTCCGACGTTACAGGACGGCCCAAGAGGCGCCCAAGACCGCCCCAAGACGGCCCAAGAAGCTTCCAAGAGGGCCCCAGGACAGCCCAAGAGGGCCCCAAGACGGCCCAAGAGGCGCCCAAGATGGCCCAAGAGGGCCCCAAGACGGGCCCAAGAGGGGGCCCAGAGGGGGACCACGAACCGCAAGCTCGAGCCTTCCGCCCCAAGAGGCCGCCAGGAGGCCCCCAGGAGGCCCCTCAAGAGGCCCCAGGAGACCCCAGACGTCCAAGGACGCCCCCAAGAGGCCCCAAGAAGCCTCCAACATGCGTCCCAAGAGGGCCCCTAGACGCAAAAATTGGCCCATTCCCTTCGTAAAACGTACATTTTCAACAAAGTCGCCTTTTGGGCTTTCCGACGTTACAGGACGGCCCAAGAGGCGCCCAAGACCGCCCCAAGACGGCCCAAGAAGCTTCCAAGAGGGCCCCAGGACAGCCCAAGAGGGCCCCAAGACGGCCCAAGAGGCGCCCAAGATGGCCCAAGAGGGCCCCAAGACGGGCCCAAGAGGGGGCCCAGAGGGGGACCACGAACCGCAAGCTCGAGCCTTCCGCCCCAAGAGGCCGCCAGGAGGCCCCAAGGAGGCCCTCAAGAGGCCCCAGGAGACCCCAGACGTCCAAGGACGCCCCCAAGACGCCCCAAGAAGCCTCCAACATGCGTCCCAAGAGGGCCCCTAGACGCAAAAATTGGCCCATTCCCTTCGTAAAACGTACATTTTCAACAAAGTCGCCTTTTGGGCTTTCCGACGTTACAGGACGGCCCAAGAGGCGCCCAAGACCGCCCCAAGACGGCCCAAGAAGCTTCCAAGAGGGCCCCAGGACAGCCCAAGAGGGCCCCAAGACGGCCCAAGAGGCGCCCAAGATGGCCCAAGAGGGCCCCAAGACGGGCCCAAGAGGGGGCCCAGAGGGGGACCACGAACCGCAAGCTCGAGCCTTCCGCCCCAAGAGGCCGCCAGGAGGCCCCCAGGAGGCCCCTCAAGAGGCCCCAGGAGACCCCAGACGTCCAAGGACGCCCCCAAGAGGCCCCAAGAAGCCTCCAACATGCGTCCCAAGAGGGCCCCTAGACGCAAAATTGGCCCATTCCCTTCGTAAAACGTACATTTTCAACAAAGTTGTCTTTTGGGCTTTCCGACGTTACAGGACGGCCCAAGAGGCGCCCAAGACCGCCCCAAGACGGCCCAAGAAGCTTCCAAGAGGGCCCCAGGACAGCCCAAGAGGGCCCCAAGACGGCCCAAGAGGCGCCCAAGATGGCCCAAGAGGGCCCCAAGACGGGCCCAAGAGGGGGCCCAGAGGGGGACCACGAACCGCAAGCTCGAGCCTTCCGCCCCAAGAGGCCGCCAGGAGGCCCCCAGGAGGCCCCTCAAGAGGCCCCAGGAGACCCCAGACGTCCAAGGACGCCCCCACGACGCTTCGCGTCACCAATTTCTTCTCACAACGATTCCTGGGTCTGTGACTCGACAGAACCTATGCGCGCGCGAAGCGCGCGCGTGGTTCTAGTATATATATATATATATATATATATATAGATCCACCTCGCTCCTCCACTTCCTTTTTCCCAGAGAGAGGAACAACGATGAGAGGGGGAAGGGGGGGCGGGAGCAGTAAAAAGACCAGTAGTTTGCTCGATTCCGATCCCCCGTTGCAGAGGTGTTAGGGGCACTCCTGGCACCTCCATGGGCCATCTCTCTCTTTCTCTTTCTCTCTCTCCCTCTTTTTTTTGTTTTTTTTTGTTCTCTCTCTCTCTCTCTTTTTTCTCTCTCTCTCTCTCTTTCTCTTTCTCTCTCTCCCTATCGCTCTCTCTCTCTCTCTCCATCTCTCTCTCTCTCTTTTTCCTCTCTCCCTCCCTCTCTCTCTCTCTCCCTCTCTCTTCCCCACTTCCCTCCCCCCCGAGGTGCAGAGCGAGGGCGGCGGCGCCGAGAACTTTGTGGCCCAGCTGGGCCAGAGGAGTCCGCTGGCGCCTGCGGCGGCCGCTGCCGCTGTCGGCTCCTGAGGGGGGTGCCACGGGCGAGCGACGCAGAACAACAGGATCGTCTTCACTGACATTGGTGGGCGTGCTTTTGATTCATTGTCTTGCCGATCGGCGCGGGCCCCCAACCTCCCCCTCCACCCCCCCCATGGAGTGGATCTTGGCTGTTGTTGGCGCCCGCTTCGAGCAGGTGGAGTCCCTCCCCTCATGGGACGCACTGCTGCGAACAGTCGCGCTAAGCAGAGGTCCGGAGCCAGACCGCCCCCCCTGCCCCCCCCCTGCCGCCCAATGTCGAAACGCCGGATACAAAAGCGCTCACCACTGGCGCGTGAGCTGCCCGCGTGCGGCAGGTTCGCGTCGTGTCGACCGGCGGCGACCCCAGCGTGGGCGTTCAAGGCTGAACGCCGCCTGTGGCCCAGAATCGGCCCATTCTTGAACGATCCGGTCTTTTTGAAAGGGCCGATCGTTCAAGTTTGAGCGATCCCCGCAGTGTCAGGAGCCAACGCCGGGTCGACACGACGCGACCCTGCCGTGAGGTCGTGCGTGAGCGCCCTCGCCTTGCAGTGTGCCGCGCTGGCGGCCCGCGTAGGCCGCGGCGTATGGTCGCCGTAGCTTCTTGCACGAGCCCGCCTCGTTTCGTCACTCAGGTGGCGGAGGGGGTACAGTCGGGGCGTAGACCTAAGGAACCCTAAATAGGGAACGAGGCCCCTCGTTTCCATAAGTTAGACTTCGATCTCCGATCGAAGACATAAGGAAAACCTGAGGCAAGCTGTGAAACACTTAGGGAACACGGAGCCCCTTCCCAGCGAAACGGTTGCACCCTGAGACTACGGTCGGGAACTGTTGGTTGGCGTGTCGCGCCATCGGCTCTGGCTTACCGCGCCAATCTCGTCCCCAGTTCCAAGCGTCAACGTCCTGAGCTTTTCCGAGCCTCCCGCCCCGCGAAGCGGAGCGACACGCTATTCGTTCGCAGGGCAATGGCGTGTCGATGGGGTCGCCGCCGCGGCAGGCCAAGCAACAGTTCCCGACTGTACCAGCCTGAAACAGATCATTATCACTACGAGTGGCATAGCCTTATTTCTGTGTCGATCTGAAGGATTCGCCCACTACCTGAGAGCGCATCCCTGAGACTGTCATCGCCCTGGGCCGGTCGATCTTTGTGGTACACTACTAGGGATGAGCTTGAGGGTGGCTATGAGATCCTGTCGTCGCATTTGTTTCACACTGGGTCTTTTTTGCGGCGTCGGATCTCAGGCAAGGTTACGCGGAGTCCAGGCGCCCTGTCGTTGGGAAGCAGACCGTTGTGGGGGGGCATTGGCAGAGGACCCTAGTATCGACCAGCCTGAAACAGGTCTCTACCCTAACATCTACCAACCTTGTCGTCGCGTTGTTTCGGCCCCGATCTTGCGTGTTCGCCCAGTTCTGAGAGCACATCCCTCATTCGCCCTCGACCTGTCGGTATGAGCTCAGAGGTCCCGCCGTCGCATTTCCTTGCTCTGGGCTTCTTCGTGGCGCTGGACCTCGGCGGAAGTTGCTCGGCGAGCCCGGACGCCCTCGCGTTGTGCGGCAGGTGCGCCGTGGATTTTTGTTTGGGGGCGCCGGCTGGGCACCCGGGGCTGTCACAAGGCAGCAGTTCGGAGTTCGGTAGGATCGAGATTGGTATGGCAAGAGGGGGGGGCCAAGATCGACAGTAGATCTTGTCCGTTTTGAGCAGGCGTCGCCGTCTGTGTCGCCGCGGACATGTTGCCCATTCGCGAGAGAACGTCGCCTGTCCAGCAGCGGCCGCTGTCACGTTTCTGGACAGCGTCTGCTGTGCAGTGCGCGAGTCGCCGAGTAAGGCAGAGTGCGAGTACCGATTGTCACCGGGGGTGGTGAATTCGGCGTCACCCCAACATACTTATACTACATGTGCGTCGCCCCCCCAGGGGCGACGCGCGCACCGAGAAATCTTGTAGTATACGCGTCGTGGCGGGCGCTTTCTGGCCACACCGCTCGGGAAACGATGTACTAGTACTACAAGATGGGTATACTTTTTGTTCGGGTCGGACGCGCGCCTCCAAGGCGGACACATAGCACTCGCATGTCCGTGTGCGTCCCATGAATCCGCCCCCACGGGGGCGGGGCAGCGCGGTCCTTCGTCGGTCCCCCGGTGGTGTGCGGCGTCCGGATGCGAGAGCCGGCGGGCGCCGGTGCCCCGACGCTGCTCCTCCGTCGTGCCCCGCCAGAGTTCGGGGGGCCACGGGCGATCCCTGCCCCTACCCCCCACGATTTCTGAGGGGGAGGGGGAGGGGGTTTTACTTCGCTTGGGAGCTCCCGAGCGAAGTGAACCCCACCCTCCCCCTCAGAAATCGTGGGGGGTAGGGGTAGGGTTCGCCTGTGGCCCCCTAAAGGGCTCGACCGATGCCCTGCACCCCTCCGTGCACGCAACCTGCCGTGAACGTGACGCCGCTGCGGGGGGCGCACGGTGTCCGCGCGGGGCCAGCTGTTGGGGCAGTCTCGGCTCGAGGCCGGCCTTGCCTCGAGGCATCGCTGTGGCAGGCCTCCCCCCTCCTCTGCACGGTCGGGCAAAGGAAAGCAGCCGCGCGCTCGCGGGCATGCCGTCCTCGGGATTGGCGGCGCCGCTGCTCGGGGGAGGCGGCAGGCATGCGGCAAAGGGCGGCGGGCCAGAGCTGGCCCATATGGACAGCACGATCAGCGGACGTGCGAGAGCCAGCCAGGTCGATCAGCTTCTGTCGCTTGCGGCCCTGCAGCCGCCGCCACGATGCGTGCGATGCATGGCGAACTCGAAGGTGTTCGTCGACATCCTCATCGCCGTCCTGAGAGTTCTTGCGCCCGTGATCGCCGCGTTCTACCAGGTGCTGTATCGCATTTACTCGGTGACACCGGCGAACGAGCTCATGATGATCTATGGGTTGGCACTGTGCTTCTTCGGAGGTAGATTCTGCGCGTCTATCGCCGCGGTCGAATGTTTTCGGCGCACGGGTGGCGACAAACTGTTACTCTGCGCGAGAAACCTCTGCGCCAACGTCCAGGTAGCCTGGGAGGCGCATCTCAGGGACGAGAAGGTCGACCAGAACAATGATGGCCTCGCGGACGTGCTGCAGATCAGCACGCACGAGTGGTACAGGCGCAAGGTATGCATCGTGATGAAGGCTGTTGATCCAGACATACTGGCGCAGTCCTTGGCCGGTCTCTACCAGGGCTTTTTGGGCATGGTGATGTCACTGAGGTTCAAGTTCGCCCGAACTGTTGCGTTGGCGTGCTCGGTCGCAGACCTCTTGAGGAAGCCGGTTGCAACTATCGCAACGCCTATCTTGGCGGCCCTGATGCCGAAAGAGTATCATAAGTGGATCAACCAAATGATCAATTTTATTCTGAAGGCGGCAGCTGTGCACCTTGCGTGGAGGCTGCAAGAGGTCATGAGTGCTTTGCAGAGCGCCTTGATGGGCGGTAGCTTGTTCGCCACGGGGCTCATCATCGGCATCGGCCGCTGTTGCGGGCGCCGGAAGACATTCGACCCTGATTCGACTTACCTGGACGAATTGCTTGGCCTCCCCCTGGCCGCAGCTGGGTTCTGGTTCCAGCTCCAGCACGGATTCGCCCTCGACTTCCCATACGACTTGGCGCTCTTCCCATTGACGCTGTCGGAGTGGTTTTTACGCATGTGCATCACTTGGTTGCCAATCTCTGAGGACACTGGGCTGCAGTAGCGATGATCATGCCTGCCCACTCGTATTTCGAGTGATCAGGACCTTTTTTTTGTTGCTGAAGTTGTCTTGATACACGGAACGTTTGCTTGAATTGACCGCAAATAGTGAGCTTGCGCATTTTATATGTGAAAGTTGTATGGTTGGAGCAGTGTGGTGCAAGCTGTTGGGGTGGAAGTAATGTGGTGCAAATTACGTCGGGAAGCTCCTGAGCGAAGTGAACCCCAACCTCCCCCTCGGAAATCGTGGGGGGTAGGGGTAGGGTTCGCAGGTGGCCCCCTAGACAAGGTACCCATGCCTCTACCCCCCCGCCCGTTTTCCCCCCCTCTCGGGCCTCCTGGGCGGCCCTCGTCGCCACCGCTGCGTTCGCCCCGAAGTCCTGGTCAGAGCGCACCCCGGGAGAGGTCGGGGGGGGGGGGGTAGCGGTGTCGGTGCCTTTTGGTTTCCCCAGGCGGGGGGGTGGACGGTGGCGGCCAGACGGAGCCTCGGAAGGGCCAGCCAGCGCACGAGGCGGCGACGAGGCCGCCGCAGGCGGCGACCGGGCGAGGCCCTGGAAGCGCCGGCCAGGTGCTCTGGGAGGAGGTATTGGTAAGCCTTTGGTGCGTTACTGTTTGGAGCATCAGTGGCGAGGGGGTGGCGGCGAGGCAGGAATACGAATCGGAGGGGAAGGATGAGGATGATGGTAGTGATGGGGGCGGGAGGAAGCATGGATAGGAAGAGGAAGGGGATGAGGAGGAGGAGGATGTTGAGGAGGAGGAGGAAGAGGAGGAGGAGGAGGAGGAGGAGTATGAAGAGGAGGAGGATGGGAAGGAGGAGGATGATGAGCAAGAATATGATGATGAGACGAGGATGTGGACGAGGCGAAGGAGCGTGACGAGGAGTTGAGCAGCGGAGACGAGGGGGATGTGGAAGGGATTGAGGATGAGGATACCGATAGTAAGGATCCTGATGAGAGAGTATTCGGAGCTAGAGGAGGATGAGGATGAGAAGGAGGAGGAGGAGGAGGAGGTTGCCGAGGAGTTGTAGAGGGTGCAATTGGACGATGATGACGATGCTGCTGTTGATGATGATGTTGATGAGGAAAATGCTGATATTGATGATGATGCTGATGCTGGTTCTGATGATAATGCTGATGCTGGTGATGATGAGGATGCTGATGATGAGGATGCTGCTGCTGCTGATGATGATGATGATGATGCTGATGCTGATGCTGATGATGATGCTGATGATGATGATGCTGATGATGGTGATGATGATGATGCTGATGATGC